TTCTCGTAACTAAAAATACACGTGATGTTTGGTGGGGAAGGGGGGGGTTAATTTTGAATATCACCGCGTATCATCAAGGAGGACGGGGTCCAAAATTCCTTAAAAAGACGATCACCTAATTAAAGGACGCCCCCAAATTACAAATTTTATCAGAATGATGAAACGTACTTCTGCATTAGCAATATTACTTATTTAATTACCGTTTTTAGCTATAAATAATCTTTACAATTTCCACGTTTATTTATGATTTATATTGTTTTGATCATTTTTATCGTTTCTTGTTGATAGCGATAAAAATGTCCTAAAAGAATTCTTTCATATTTACAGCGAAAACTATAATATTCTTTCTGAATTAACACATGTTAAATATAAATTTAATGCGTTTTATTTGCTATATCTAAATATTTTTAAACATGATTTTTGTTGACTTTTATGGCCCATCCGTAATGTTGACCATCGCAATATTGTTGTAAACTATAACCCAATATTTTGGTTACATTATATTTCAGAGAAATTTTAACATTGGCTGACGGTGGCGAAATTGGGCTCGATTGGCTAGAAACAGGATGTGATCCAAAGTCGCCAGTAATATTAATCCTTCCGGGATTGACTGGAGAATCGCAGGCAGAATATATTAAATGTCTTGCGTTATCTGCTAACAGCATCGGTGTTCGCTGTGTTGTATTCAATAACCGTGGTCTAGCAGGTGTACAACTAAAGGTACTATTAAAAAGGTTTTGTTCTAATGATTTTTATTTGGGAATTATGTGCAACTATTTCTTTAAGGAATAAAAAGCAAATTTGGTAAAGTGTTTTAGACAGTGGTTGCCAACATTGTACGCTACCCCCACCCAACAAGCTGTTTGATTTTTTTTACAATCTAATTTTAAAAATAAATAATCAACTGAATAATATAATTTATAAGAATATACATAAAAAATATTGGTCTATTTATTTCTTATATAATTCCAACATTTTGATTTATTTTCGAAAATAGTATTTTGAAAGCAGTTGTACATCCCACTCTTGCAACAACCTCACGGCCTCCTGAGGAGTCACGCCTTACAGGTTGGAAACCACGGAGATAAAGTTTTGCTACTTCGGTAAGGGCTAAAATATAGCATCGAACTCTACTCCGGGACCAAGCTCTGAGGGATTTCAAAGAAATTCAATTAATTGTTTACCCCCTTTCGTGCTATTTAGCTCGATGAATCTTGGGCCCGCAGATGTTAGGCGTTAACGCTTCTTCGCGCGTAATACCGCATGTCCACCGGTGGTACACCACAACGAACTAACATTACAGAACCGCGTGGCCACCGGTAGATACACGATATGTGTGTTATCTGGAATAGACCATTTTTTGGTGCGGTCCCAACAAGTAAAGAACGATTTTCGATGCGGTCTTCAAGGTGTTAAGCTGATCTCGAGAAAGGTTATAAAGCCTGCCGAAGGCGAGGCGGTGCTTGCGCGCTTCGATATTTCGTCTCTATGTAGCTAAAGCAGTGCGCGATTGCCTTGAAAAAAATTTCAAAATTTTCAAAGTTTTCAAAAATTTTCTTTTTTTTTAAATTTAAAATTTCTCAAAAATCTAATTTTTTCAAAGTTTAAAAACAAAATTAATAATTAAATTAAAAATAAGTAATTAAAATTGGTATGGAAAGTTCCAGCAATTTGTCTTAAGGTACGATGCCATACACCACTAGTTTATTTATTGTTTCAACAGCATTCAGAACTACTTAACCTTACGTGTCCTATGAGCTGTTTGTTGAAGGCGGTCTCCATATTATGCATATTTAATGCCCTTGCCATAGCGGTTGCGAGATGGATTCGGACGAACCAAACATTACTCAACTCAGCGGAGTTTTCACCAAAATCCAGACGAGTTAACACCCGAGGTTCTCAGTTCATTTCATACGAAGGATGGGGTTGCAGCATTGTCTTACAGACTCGCCTCATCCTGGTTTTGAACAATTCGTAATTTATTCTAATGGTCATTATGATTTAATCATTTTCAATTTCCTATTTCAACATTTGGGCATAGTATGATAAAATATGTGCAAGTGGTCAATTAGGTTTATTGCTCATCTGTATGGCAATTTTCCATACCTTTAGGGAATTATATAGCTATTATGTGTCAACCAAGAAGGACTTCAAAAATTCTTCTGTGCGATAAGTCGATTATACAACGGTGTCTTTAAAATTTTTTAAATGCACGTGCTATTTGTTAAATTATTTGTGTTAATTTTGTTATCATGCTTGTTGTTCAATTTTGTTCTTTAAAAATTATATTTAAAAAAGTGCTCGTATCGTAGATAGGACAATTATATTATTAGTTGGGAATCACATTAATTAATTTTTATGAAAAATAGGTCAAATTGTTTTTACAATACCAAAAACAGGTTTCTGTTAAAACGAATTTGAAAAAATTCTGTTAAAATTTTAATATTGGCTGCAAAGAGTGCAAAGAATTACGGCTTATTTTTAAGATGCATTTTTTATTAGGTTGAGAATATTATAGTTTTACGATGTTAGCTCGTGTAAACCGTTTTTTTTTTTTGTCTCATTGTTAGACACCTCGTCTATATTGCGCAGCAAACGTTGATGATCTCTCTGAAGTAGTGGAACATGTGCATACTTTAAATTCAGATGTGCAGTTAGGCGCCGTAGGAATCTCTATGGGGGCTCTTCTCATAGGAAATTATATAGCCACAAGAAGCAAAAGGGCATCTAGTGTTTTAACAGCTGCCATGATCATATCTGCTCCATGGAATGTTTTCAAAGGTTGGTTCGTATATTGATATATATGGTCGAATTTTAATTTTATTTTATTCATTTATTCATTTATATGCAAACCATAATCAGTAATAATGATATTTTAATTTATCAACATTCATTTGTAATTATTTATTCACTGCCTTAACTTTTCCCGGGCATTATCTTATATTTTAATTTAGCGAAAACTCTATTCGCAGATGATACAGTTGGATGTAGACAAAGAATGTTTCATAGAATGAATCATTTTTACTATATGTATTCTCAATAAGTTAATTCAACTGAAAATATTTAACGATCTTTTACTCAAAATATTAAACTTTAGTGACGGTGTACTTAAAGCGCTTGCCTACATATGTAGGCAAAAATTTATCTTGCATTGTAAAGATATTTATACATTTTTTTTTCATCTTTGGATGTAATTTATTTGCATTTTATAGGTACAAAAAGTATAGAAAAGCCTTATTTGAACAGTATGCTTGGTCGCTACTTGGCATCAAATTTATGTACAACATTGAAACAGTATAAAACTCAGATGATTGGGCCATGGGACATGGATAAAGTCCTGGCAGTAAGTAATAATTGAATCGTTACGATCGAATAAACTACTTTATCACTCATTAATTTTAGAGCAAAACCATAAAGGAATTTGATGAAAATTTTACTACATTGCATTTTGGTTACAAAAATATTGATGACTATTATTCTGCTGCAACTCTACATGATAAAATAGACAAGATTACAGTACCCTTGTTATGTCTCAGTGCCGCAGATGATCCATTTCAACCTCTCGATGGTAATTCAGTTGTTTTATTTGTTTTTATGTATTGTATTTTGCATTTAGAAAATAATATAAATCAAAATATAAGTAACTACTGAGATAAAGTCATGTTAGATATTTATTTTGATGTTTTTTAAGTCCCTTGAAAATAGATTTTGCTTTCTTTGTCATAGATTTACCGGAAATTTATTATTAAATTTTTGGATGCATTCAAAGCACTTTAATTTAATTACCACACAAATTTGTTTATAGTATTTGGTTAAAAATTATACTTATATGATATTAAAATTGGCCTTAATTATTTAATATTCTAACATATTTGTTTATATGTTACAGCTATTCCCATCGAGCAAGCAGAAAATAGTAGCTATGTTGCAATTGCTGTTACAGCCCGTGGAGGGCACATTGGTTTTATGGATGGATTGTGGCCTTTAACTCAAAATCAGTATATGGCAAGACTCTTTGGCCAATATTTTTCTGCTGTTTTTAATGTCAATAATGACATTAATTCTTTAAAAAAGAAAATTCAAGTACCTTATCAATGTGATAGTGTAGATTTATATTCGGCTGTTGCAAGTACTGTTAACTTATGATTATTTAAAGTTGAGCATAAAATAGTATTATTTTAGTATCATTCTTTTTAGATATAATTAATTAATCTGACTTTTTATAATTTTGTTTTACATATAAAATAAATAATGTTATTAATGTATAATTATATAGTCTAACCAGGAAATTCTCTAAATATATTATTCCTGATGTTATTTTGTTGTTTCTTTACTAGGAATATTTTATTAATGCGAATTTAGTACTGTGTAATTTCCATAAGTAATTTTTTTTTTTTAAATTTATCAGAACTTATGGATTCTATGAGCTGTTGTGATTAATATCTTACAAACTACGTTTGTTTTTATTATAGATGGCAACCCAAACAGTTGTCTCATCTCTATGTGCTGAATTTTTATTATAACAATTACTGTAATAGTGATGCATTTAATTGTTGCAGCAATACCGTATTAGGGCTGTTTTCACTTGGAAACATATTGCTATCTATATTTCTAAGCAAAAATCGTTGTCACTGCTGCCTGACAACAGGCTGCTCGAAGTGGGTATCGAACCAAGAACCCCTGATCCAGGTCCGGTCGTTCTAGCCACTTACCTACGAGCAAGCCCTCCATAAGTAATAACACCATTTTTTTTTTAAATGAAATTAAGGTCTTCTTAATTTAATTTGTGGCATTGTTCTATTTCATGTGTTTTTAATACATGACATAAACCACTCTTAAAAGGGCTTTTCACTTTAGTAAAAGAGATTACTTTGATTAAAAAATTTTATTATACAAAATTATTAATATTTAACCTAAGATGTAAATACATTGATACTTTATGCTAAAATGGAAATGAAAGCAAATTCAATTGTATTTTATATTTTGCCCTTACACCCCATTAAACATAACATGCACAGCATATATAATATAAAATCTATGAATCTCTAAATGCTGTATGAATGTGAAATCTTTATTTCGTTGGTGAATATATACACATATATATATAAATACATATGTATATATATATATATATAAATTAGAACAATATAAAACACAGCACAAAATATTATAGATGAGAAATTTTAAGACAACATTATTGAAATATTACAACTTCATATTATATTCCTTTCAGATCCTCAGGAAGATCATTTTTTGGGTGTTTGTTTTCAAAATGCTGCTTGTATGTTTTCGGATCTGGCATTTGAGCCTGAAAAATATTATATAATGCATCATAATTTCATACTATATTTGTTCATTACAGAAATTTGAGGAAATAACATTTTTACTTAGGTACTGTTAAACCAATTCGAGGAATTTTATTTCATAATATACTATTATATGCAAAATTTAAGATCTTATTTTCACAATATTATGATAGTTTAAACATATTCAAGTCAAAGATAAATGTAAATGAAAACTCTTTCCGTTTGATTATTCTAAAAGAATAATCAAGTAATACTAAAATGCAGTAATAACATGTAGAAAAGTAGCACATTTAGCACTTGATTTTGAAGAACTTTGTCCTACCTTGCATATAGCACAAACGTGAACAAGAGCTTTCTGAGCTGCCTTTTTTTGTTCGTTTGCACTGTGTCCTTGTTGTTTCTTCAATTTCGCCGATTTTTCAGCGGCTTTCTGTTGCGATTGCACTTTCTGCTGACCACGCGCCATGTCTGCGAAACATATTGGTTAGAATTGATATGACCTTAAAAACTACAGTGCATAAAATGTAAACTAATTTAAATAAATTAAGTATTAGAAAAATAACAAAATTTAATGTGTAACACCTTTCCAAGAGAATTGTCGGGTTTACAATTAATGAAAGAATGCCAAAACGACAAAACATATTGTGACGAAACAAATTAACAAACAAGCTACAAACACTTTTTTATTTTATTACAATTATAAAAATAATATATTAATTAACAAATCCTCACCTTGCACTTATCACTTAGAATTTGCTAGAGCAAAAATTTGACAGCTATTCCCTATTCTGTAGAAAAAGGAAAATGTATTGAGAAGATTGCAGCGCCATGTAAAAATTTCAACTGGAAATAGAGGGCGCGAAAATTCGAAAGTTTGACAGTTTCCTAATAGCATTACGCCTTTTGTTTAAAATTGTGATCATAACCACAAAATGCGCATGGACGTGGAGTTAACGCGTTGTGCATCAAGGCTGTTTTTCAGGCAATTTAGTAAAAAAATTAGACAAGCTAAGGGTACGACAGAGACCACAAACATACCAGGTCAGTCAAATGTAATACACATAGTTTAATTGTCTAACCGCACAAGTTCATTTTTTCAATATTGTGTGAATAGGTTAAATATTTAGTCTAGATATACAATATTCATATTCAAAATATTTAATGACAAACAGACAGCAGTCGAATTGTAATATTGTCTGTCCACAATCTTAGCTGATATTAACCAATTTGTTCTGTAATATTTTCTGGATTATAAATTATTTCTTTACTAAAAGATTTTATGTATGAAACAGTATTTGAATACCCGGTTGCTAAAGAGAGGGACAGAAGAGTATATGCTTGGGGACTTGCTGAAACTGGCGCTTTAGGTATCAGTGAGCCAAAAACAACAAGGAAGTCATTGTCTTCTGTGGTTACTCATCCAACTAGAATTAGTTTTGCTGAAAAATATGATATCACAGATATAGCTTGCGGCTATGGCTTTACATTATTTGCTGTTAAATCTAAGACGGTTAAAGTATTTGGAACTGGCATTAATACAGATTCTCAAATCGGTAAACATGTTGTTAAGTTTAACTTATGCAAAAAATCATTTATCTTTTAAATGTCTAAAGTACATTTCCTAATTTTCGTATTGTGTTTAACTTCCAAATTAGATAAAATATCAAGATATGTGAATAAAAAATTAATGATTAAAACATTGGTACTTTAATGTTGATTTCATGTTTTGCAGTAAATTTCAAGAATTAATTAAATTAAATTTAAGTATGATATGCTTGAATATGATTTTAGTATGATATGCTTGATTAATTTAGTTAATTAAAATCAATTGTTCAATTTTAAAAATGTAAAACAGTATATTAAATGCCTAAATTTAATTTTCTAGGATTGCAAACTCAAAGGAAAGATGGTATTTTGGAATTCTTAACCTACCCTGCTCCAATCTCATTGCCTTTACTTGAGCCAGAAGTTACGAATGTGATCAGTATCAAAAGTGGCCGTGCTCACAGTATTATTCTTACTGATAGAGAGGGAGCTTTTACTATAGGAAATAATTCTTATGGCCAATGTGGTCGCCCTATTGATAAAATTGAGTTATATACTGAAAGTAAAGTATTGCCTTTTTCAATTCCAAAGGTTGGAAATGAAGATATAGTATCTATTCAATGTGGTCAAGATCATAGGTAAGCAATATATAGAGTAGTTCTTTGAAATCTTTAGAATTCTTGTTGTTGTGTTTTTTATCATATTTTATTTCTTATCTTTTTGCAGTTATTTTTTTATCACATCAGCATCAATTCTTAGTTACATTATGTATTTTATATAAAATTAAATGATACATATAGTAAGACTGTAACATAAAGAGTAACACTTAATAGTAAGAAATATATTTGTTATTCAATTTCTTTATTGAAAATTGTTTAGAGTTTATTTTAACATAACTTCTATATATAATTATTTAATCAATATGAAAGTTTTTTTTTTCTTTTAAAGATCTTTTTTCATCTGTATTATAAAGAATATTTGATCTTATAATTAGTTTATATTACTAATATCATATTTGCCTCATAATTTATCATGGCATGTGAAAAATCTATATATTTGATTTGATTAGATTTGAATATTTGATCTTATAATTAGTTTATATTACTAATATCATATTTGTCTCATAATTTATCATGGCATGATTGAAGTATATCCAGGGTTTGTTTATATTAAATACAATTTTTTATTCAGTATATTTATTAACAAATGTGGACAAGTGTTTGCTTGTGGCTGGGGAGCAGATGGTCAGACTGGTTTGGGACATTACCGGAATGAATATGTTCCTACTCAACTTCTGGGAGATATTGCATCAGAACATATTATTAAAACTGCTGGTACAGCTGACTGCGTTCTGGCTCTGAATGGTATAGTTAGAACTCCATTTAAATGATTGTACTCAATGTTGATATTTGAATATTATTACTTATATAGAGAGATATAGATAGATAGATATAGATAGAGATATAGAGATAGATCAGATATATATATAGAGAGAGATAGATAGAGATAGATATAGAGAGAGATATATATAGATATCAGAGAGATATAGATATAGAGATAGATCATATATATATCATATATATATATATATATATATATATATATATATATATATATATATCATATATATATATATATATATATATATATATATATATATATATATATATCATATATATATATATATCATATATATATATATATCATATATATATATATACAGGGCCGGTCCTGCCTTGCATGCGATGCATGCAAAAAATGCGGGCGCACGCCTTAGGGGGCGCCAAAACGAGTTTCGAAAATTAAAATTTTAATATATTATTTATATTTTTTATTATTTATATAAAATCTAGAATACTTAATAAATTATAATAAACAATCACACTTAACTAGGGATACGGAGACACAAAAAGCATATTTATTTTGCAACGTGATATCAGTACCGATTAATAACTCTGTAAATTAGTAAATAACTGCTCTGTTTATTGCTCAATCTACTTATTCAATTTTTTATTTGTTTGAAGTTGCTGTGAAATTGAAAAAGGAATTATATGTGATGCAAAGAATTATATGTGAGCGCAAACCTACGAAAGATTAAATTATTTGGCATTATAGAAGAAAAATTGCGATATGATTTAGTTAAAACGGAACTTGTTAATAAAAGTAGATACAAATTATAATAGAGAAAAATTAAAAATAGGAAAAATGGATAATTTATTTCGATTGATTCCGAGTTGTAATTTTTGTTTTTGTTGCAAATGTTTCGCATCTGATAAATTTTGAACGTTGAAGACATTCGTGGTTAGGGTTAAGGAAATGGAACAAATATGAGAAATGAAAGCAAGAGTTACTTTGGAACGAAAATCTTAAGGCTTTTTTTTACCTAGTGGTGTCCATACTCTAAATTTAATATTTATTAACTATGCAGGAAATAATATATATCAAATATAATTAGTTTTTTTCCAAAATAGTTCAAGAAATTACTTCTTTGCATTTTTACTAATTTTTGAACAATACTTTTAAAATACGTTAAAAATTTTAAAATACCTTAAAACTACAATCTGATACTCTGAATATGACGAGAAAGCAAGGACTATTACAGTTCAGCTCTTACGATATCAATAAGGAAAAGTTTACGACGTCATTTTGGATATTGTAAATAATAAAAAATTAAATTAAATTAAAATTTAAAAATCCAGCATGAAATACGAGTATTACGATTGAAAATGGAAAGCTAGTTTTTTTTAGCTCTGTTGACATGATTTGGAAAAATAAATCGCAGAATAAATAAGTAAAATGTGTCAAAACCCAAATATTAATATTGTACATACGTTAAAATAATTGAAAATTTAGAAATATTTGATTATAACCAACCCGCGAATCGCCTCGATTTTCTAAATAAATTTGAAATCAATGTATTTTATACACTTTTAGATTATATCTAATTTTTTACTATATCCAGAATAATCAAAAATAAATTAAAAAAAAATCTGTAAATATTTATACTATATAAATGATAAACTGTTAAAACATTTAAAATTAATAGGGGGGGGGCGCTAGAAAAAAAGTTGCATGCGGGCGCTAAGGACCCCAGGACCGGCCCTGTATATATATATATATATATATATATATATATCATATATATATATATCATATATATATATATACACCGCGATTTCCATTTTCAATTGAAAGTATAAATCAAAAATATGTTGCCAATTGAAAATAAGTCCATCACGTGCACTGCGGTGTGAAATAGAAATGGGAAAAGCTCTCACACTACTTCTACCCTGAATCGAGTTTGATTTTAACTCAGCTCACAGACCTACCTGAGGGCAGTACTACCCATTATTATATATATATATATATATATATATTAGGGTGGTCCTTAAAATGGTCATTTTCGAATTTCCTTGCTCCCAGGGGCTCAAATGGTTCCAAATAGATAAAAAACAATTCTCTGAAAGTTTTAGCTCTTAATATTAACGTTTAGATAGAGCGCAATTCAATCAAAGTTTGTATGAGGAGAGCATGTAAAAAAATTTGAAAATTAAAAAAAAATGTTTTAGGTCTAACTTAGCGACAAATGAATGAGTTTTATTCATTCATTTGTTCGCTAAATTACATCTAAAAAACATTTTTTAAATTTTTGAAAATTTTGTCATGCTGTTTCCATACAAAACTTTAATTGAATTGCGCTCTATCTAAACGATAATATCAAGAGCTAAAACTTTCAGAGAATTGTTTTTTATCTATTTGGAACCATTTGAGCCCCTGGGAGCAAGGAAATTCGAAAATGACCATTTTAAGGACCACCCTAATATATATATATATATATATATATGATTTGGGATCATTATTTCATTAATATTATGTGTTGACATAAAAAAAATGTGAATTGATTATATAAGTATTTTTTTTATTATGTTAATACATGTTTATATGCATTAAGCTACATTTCAGATAAAGGTGATGTTTTTGGATGGGGAAATAGTGAATATGGGCAATTATGCCAGGGAAATGAAGTACAACAAGTAAATACTCCTCGGCATTTACCATTCTGCCGAAAACTAGGTAAAATTGTTGACATTGCAGCAGGAGGATCAATGTGTGGTGTAGTTACTGGTAAGTCTTCATTTTCATTATGCAAATGATTTTAATATTTTACTTAATACAGTTACATCAAGGTGCAAAAGTTGCATTTCAACATCTGCGTAAGGGGGTGTCCATTGAATGCCTTTTTCTTTAAACTGTTTTCTCTTTCAATACAATGTACATGATTTCTCGAGTTCTACTACGCCAGTTTACTTCAAATTTTCAGAGAATCTTTCTTATAGACTTTTCTTCAGTATATACTAGCCTCATCCTCGAATTTCAATTTCTACTACTTTTAAATAAATTGATAGTCAAAAATGTGGTAAGAAAATGGTTTTCTTTTTTCAAACAGTCGCCATTTTGTCAAAAAAAATTAACTTAATCCTATATTATATCATAGTGACATCACTCTAAATGAATAATCTTTTTTTATTCTCATTTTGGATCAATTTTTTGAGACACCTCACTTTCATACACTGCTAATTTTTAAAAATATTTTTTTTTGTTTTAATTTTTTTTCTGTACTTTTGTAATGTTGATAAATACTATAAAAAAATAACAGTGAAATTGATTGCCTTTTTTATGATTTAAAAGTAACCTAAAATCATACCTCTACACAAGAAAACTCTCTTAAATATAAAATACAATACACTCTTCTGCATGCAATAGTAAAAATGTAGTAACTTAGTTCTAAAAACAAAAACAAAAAGTTTTTTTTTTCATTATATAGAACCTTTTATATTTTATTATTTTAAACATTTTTGACTTCCTATGGAATGTATGCCTACTGTACATCGATAAAAGTAATTTTTGTCTTCAAAGTATCATTTTCATAGAATTTTTTATTTTAATTCAATTTAATTCTGCAATCTATAAATATAATTACATTTAGCAGAGAATGCTGACAAGTTGTTTACAATTGATTGTTTACAAATTAGTAGATACCCCCAATGGCGTATCTACTATAGCTAATATAATAATAAAAAAAAAAAAAAAAAAAAAACTAAAGAGTATTTTTAAATGTTATTTTTTGCATTAAGTTTGTATGCAATGTTTTGTAAATTCTGCATATGCTAATTCAAGCAATTTTTGTTTTATATTTTATCTTAGAACAAGGAGATGTGTTCGTATGGGGCTTTGGAATATTGGGAAAAGGTCCTGAAGTTGAACATTCTTTTATTCCAACGCAAATACCAACTACTGTATTTGGTAAAAATGATTATAGTCCTAATGTCTTTGTCACAAGTATAAACTGTGGTCTAAGCCATTTTGCAGCTGTGACAAACCAAGGAGATGTATATACTTGGGGTAGAAACAGACATGCCTGCTTAGGATTAGGGCATTACAATAACCAATACTTTCCATTCAAGGTGGCTATTGGTGCACGAGTTTTAAAAGTTAGTTGTGGCATAGATCATAATGTAGTTTTATGTAAACCACATATTTAGTTTTATTATATATACTGTGTAATGAATTATAAATTTTAAATTTAATATATAGCTTTATAACACCTTCTAGTTTTGTTTAAGATGTGCAATTTATAATGTCTTGCAAAAAAAAAGACAAAATTATACAGAGTGCCACAAAATATTTATCCAGAGTACCACAAATGAAAAATGATTATAATCAAATTCTTTATTATATATACCATAAATTAAAAAAATTCTAATATGCTTACAAATATATATACACACACATACATACACACACATATATATATATATATATATATATATATATATATATGACTTAAATTTTTTTGTTCGACATTGTTTGAGTTGAGTTATTGTTTATTTAAAAAATTGGCTGCAAATTAACATCCAAAAATATTATATATATATATATATATATATATATATATTTATTTGAATAGTCTTGAATTTGATGTTGATATATATGTTTAATTTGAGTTTAATATTCGGGCGTAACATCAATAAAAATAGTATGAGAGTTTTTTTAAAAGTTTATTTATTTAAAATCCATACGTTTCGGCTAGCATCTTAGCCATCATTCAGTGGTAATCAAATTAAAATTTTGTGTCCTAATATAGTATATGAAACCATTATTAATCCATGGTATAAGTATGTGCACATTGATAAGATATATGGTTTTTGACATCACTTCGGAGTTTAAGATAGGAATATTCCTCCGAAGAGTAAATACATAGTTTCGACAGCTCTATCTAAACGTTAATATTAAGAGCTAAAACTTTCATAGAATTGTTTTTTATCAATTTGGAACCATTTGAGCCCCTGGGAGCAAGGAAATTCGAAAATGACCATTTTAAGGATCATCCTAATACATACATATATATATATATATATATATATATATATATATATATATATATATATAGCTCATATAGTTCTGTGGAGGTGCTTATGGCATAATATTACAAATATAATTTTATTCTAATGAAAATATTATATTAGTGGCTTTGCTTCATTTGTAGGTGATATGCATTTAGGTAAATTTTCTGAAACTATAGAAACATATAATATAGTCTTAGATAAAAGAAGAGTATAGTGTATTCAGGGCCGTGTCTGGGCATGTGGCCGCCTGCGTGCGAGCATTTTTTAGCCGCCCTTGAAAATAATATAGTAGGAAAATATCAAATATGTTCTCAACTTGTAAATTTTTATGTTTTCTCTACGTTTTTAGTCATTTTGAATCGTTCGAGACCAAATTTGTAAGAAAAGTATGTATATGAGCCGATTTTAAATTTTTTGTCAACGTTTTCTCTGAAAACCGGGGTAAATCGATTTCAAAAATGTAAGTCATTTGATGTAACTAGATAAAACAGAAAAGTCTACAAATTTTCGTACATGTTTTAGCCAAAAATCCTGCATCGTTTTTAAACATTCAGAAACTGTTTGAAAGATATATTTGGGAATTGTGCTGATTAGTTTAAGGGGGTATTCTACTGTAGAATTTTGAAAAAATCTAAAATTTTTTTTTCATATTTTCAAAGTTTAGTTATTCAAAAATATGTCATTAAAATAATTTTTCAAAATTACTATTATTTCCTGAGTTATAGCCGTTTTAGTGACGTGGCCTCGGTTCGGGTCCGACCAAGTCTCAAAACTTTGAACGCGTTTTTCTCGGAACTACTTTTTTCGAGTTGGCGGTAAGGATATCTCGAGTTCTAATGAACCGATTTACTTCAAATTTGGTGAGGATCTTCTCTATACATCGCTTTATCGCATGGACCTTACCCAAAACTATAACTTTTCATTTAGTATTTTTAAAAAATTCGGAATTGTTAAAAAAAATCTGAAAAAAAAATTTTTTTTCAAACTGCCGCCATTCAAACAAAAATTTTTTTTAAACTTATCCAAGGGTCATACGATAGCGGCATCTATAATAATTAAGAATCCATCTATTTTTTATGTTTCGGATCACCAGGAGGGTTGGAATCATGCACGCCAGGACACCCTCTTTTTTTTTTGAGCTCCCACTTTGACTGCTCATAACTTTGTGAATTTTATTTTTTTTTTAATATTCTATTTATGTAATAATAAAATATCAATAAACAAATGATAAAAAAATCGATAGTAAAAATATTATTTGTTTCCTTTATACAGCGCTTCAAAAACCGGGCGAAATTCATGCCTCTACAGTAGAATACCCCCTTAAGAGATCGTTCAGATCGTTTCTTCACATTTAATTGTTAAATATTTTTTTATGATGATATTTATAAAACTTTTTTGGCGAAAGAGATCATGATTTCAAATATAACTTAATATTTCGACCTTACGACAAGTCGTTTCAATTTTCAAAATGTTATTAAAGTTTGAAAAAATGAGCAGCTCTATTTTACGTGAGGCAAAATTTCATCTTTAGTCGACGTTTTCTCAGAAATGCGCAATCCTATTTGAAAATTTGATAAGTTCTCGTGGGGTTGATTTTGCCTCACGATCGGCCGAGCCGTTTTTCGTCCACGTTTATAGCCAAAATTCGCGAATCAATTTTGAAAATTCAAAACCATTACAAAGGTACTATTTAAGAATCGGGCTGATTAGTTTTTGTCAATGATCGGTCGAGTCGTTTCTCAGTTATAGATTAACACATTTTTTGGCGTGTACAAAATTGAAGATACAATAGTTTTTGACATTGGGTTGCACTCATGAATTAATATATTTTTTATAGTTTAGTCGATTATTCACACAAGTTGAAAAATTAATGCATCGTGCTTTAAGGCAAAGTTGCCACTTACACTAAGTTTATACACTTATTAATCATTCGGAAACGAAGCTTCCAATAGCCGCTTTTTGATTCGATCTCGCTTTCAAAACGGCCGCCTTCGGCCTTCGTCTTTTAACTCAGCGGATTTTCAATACGGGCGCGAATGAATTCAGCGGACTTTTAGTTTGGCCGCCTCTTAATCTAGCGGTCTTTCAATTTGGCCGCCTTTTAATTCAGTGGACTTTCAATGCGACCGCTTTTTATTACGGCCGCTATTCGTTATGGCCGCTTTTTGTGTATGGACGCCTTTAAATTTGTTTTTTTTTTGGTTTGGCCGCTCCAAAAGGCGTGCGGCCCTGAGTGTATTGTTTTGAAGTAATTAGATTAAGATTCTGTACTTGCTTCAAAGATCAGTTTTTTCTTATTTGTGGGTTAGTTCATCAGCAATTTCGCTCTGCACAGGCACCGAAGTATAGCAACTACAAGTTTTATAAATTTTATGTTAATGAAGATGAAAACTCAGATATTTTCAGTGCTACGCTTCGCCACCTGGTCAGGACAATAGAATAATTCAATGTTCTTCATCTTCATTTTCTCAATCATCTGCGCTTATTTATCTATGGTGGGTGTGACGTTTCGTGGATAGTAGGCGCACTATGGTTAACTTCCAGTAAGTCGAAGTCATAGATAAGTAAACATAAAATCGAAAGAATCCAAAAAACGGAAATTAACTTTTTTGCACATCTTTATGTTTCAAAGTTTCTGAACATTTTGGCATACCTTAAGCCGGCCACAGACGTAACTGTATGCATGTGCAACTGAATGAATGCGCAACCAGGCGTATTTTCACAGTGCTCACAGACGACTCAAGTTTATGTTCAAGTATTTGCGCAAGCATATCACAAATGTCAACTATGGAACGTCAAGACATAACCTAAAAATATATCTTTTTTATTAATTTATATATTTACAGCATCAGAAGAGAATTCAAAGTGTTCAGAAGGCTAATTTAATAATTTTAAGCAAACTTGTATTATGAATTCGCTATAAAGTAAAATAAAAACAGAACATGTGCTGCCACAAGCGGCCAACGAATAAACTTGCCGACTTGAATGATTGCGCAAATTAAAAAGTGCTCATGTCTACTCGCTTGCACCAGTCTGTCAAGTTGCGCAAAAAACACCCCACAGACGATACAGAATACATGTGCAAGTCGCAGGTTGCGCAAGTATACAGTTATGTCTGGAGCCGGCTTTATAATTAGAAAAAATGGGTGTGTATATGCATGCATTTTACAATTTTTACAATTTTTTGTCCACGTTTTCGGGAGCACGGATTAATTGATTGGAATGTTTCGTTACGAAAACATTCGATTCGTATTGACGAGGAGACGTGCTGATTAGTTTTTGAAGCAGATTTGAGTGATTCAAAAAACATTTTACTTGCGTTGACGACATGAAAAATCGACTGAAGTTTTGGGAAGAAGAGTTCTAACGATTTCGGAGATATAGATGAAAAAGTTAAAAATAAGGTATTTGACGGTCAAAAATGTTCATTATACATATACCTATATACTCTTCTTTTATCTATGTATGCAGGCATATATCACATTATAAGATATTTCTTAGAGATTTTAATAATAAGTACAAATCGTAGATAAATAAACATGGTACAAATTTTATTTTAATTTCCATGGGTTCCGTAAGATTTATAATGATTAACCTATAATAAATAAGTATAGCCGTGGCTTTACCGGTTCAAGTAACAAACGTAACAGGCCCCTGTGTTAATATTTATTTATCAATGCCTGTGTCCCTGCTATCTGCTAATATGTATTTGTTTTCTGTCAGTTGTCAAGCGGTAAGGTTATGTTTTATAAATCTCGACAACAAGAATTTGTATTAAATATGCAGTTTATTGGTGATCGCTTAAACTTTTAATAACAAAAAATACTCTGTGTGTATATATTCTTACATATAAATGGCTGGGCAAGGACATCAATTTCCCGGAAGTTTTGCTAATTCTGCGAGTGGGATGAAAATTAATTTTGTCCCTAATGCAATGGGTACTCCAATGCAAAGTTCTAATATCAATCATATGTCAGGACAAATGGTTTCGAACATGGCAAGTATTATGAACCAAGCTTACAATCAAAATATGCAAGGCCAAAACAGCATGCAACAAATCCAACAGCAAACTCACCAGCATTCAATGCAACAAAACACTGTTCAAGCGATGCCACCGGCACCTTCTCCTGTAGCTTCTTCAATAAATAATAATAGTCAAGTAGTTGGAAATACATCAGCAGTTGCGCAGCCGACTACACCAAATAAAGAATTTAATACAGCTACTCTGTGTAAATTTGGCCAAGAAACAGTTCAGGATATTGTCAGTAGAATTCAAGAAGTATTTCAAACTCTCAAGTCAATACAGCCACCTAATGGAACTGTTCAAGGCTCAACATCAAGCAATGAGAAAAAAGCAAAAGTTCAAGAACAGTTACGCACCATCAGATTGTTATTCAAAAGACTTCGACTTATTTTTGAAAAATGTAATGAAAACTGTCAAGGTATGGAATATACACATATTGAGAGTTTGATACCATTAAAAGAAGATTTGGATCAAAAGTCTGATGAAAGGATGAATTCAGAAGGATTTAAAAATGTTATCGATGAATATAAAGAATTAACTGAACAAGTAGCACTTAAAAATAGGCAACTGAAGGAAGTTATAGATCATCTCAGAAGAATTATTTGGGAAATAAATACCATGTTAACAATGCGCAGATCATAGTTTTTTTCAAACCCTGGTTGAGTAGTTGTATTATGTATATATATATATATATATATATATATATATATATATATATATATATATATATATATATATATATATATGGTTAGAATAAGATGTTATATTTATGTACTGTATATTAATTATATATCATAATTATATTATGCTCATTATTCCTATTATTTGCATTTAATTATGTTTTCATTTATTTGTTTTAAGAAATATCTCAGTTATTTTCTGTATAATTTAAATATATATTTATAGATTATAACTATGTATAGTTACTATAAATCATAAGGTCTTCATGTTTTATTGTATATCTTTTATGTGAAATTGTACAAAAATATATGAAATAAAACTCCATTTTTTATTTTGGCACTTAGATTGATGTGATCAAGTAGTTCGATTCAATTTGTTGGATGTTAAATATAATTGAATGTTTTCCAAAGGCAGGCCTAGCGGTTTTGGAAATCTAGTAAAAAAAGTAAAAAAAAATGCCAGTTGTTGGTCAAAAATGATCATTAGACATATGAACATCAAATTATCAAATATTTTATGGAGATTTTAATCATGAGTATCAATTTTGTTTACATTTCTATGGGTTCCGTAACATCGTCTGTTCGTAAGACGGCGACGCGGCGCTTACGCGCTTCTATAATTAGTCTCTATGCAGCTAAAGCAGTGCGATTGCTTTGGAAAAAAGTTCAAAATTTTCAAGACATTTCAAAATAAAAAAAAAACATTTTTTTCCAAAAGTCAATTTTTTTCAAAAATTTAAAATTTCTCAAAAATCAAATTTCTCAGATTAAAAAAAAATTTAATCTTTAAAAAAAAAAACTTGGTACCAAAAGTTTCAGCAATTTGCCTTAAGGTGATGCCACACACCACCAGTTAAATGTTTTCAATAGTAAGCATATATACTTTAATTGTTTTGGATTTGTACATAAACTTTAAACTTTAAACTTAAAATCTAAGATTCACAAAAGAAGACAAATTTCGATTATATTTTATAATTTAAAAGAAAATCAAAATCTTGTAGTTAATAATAATTTTATGTGCAGGTTTCCAAAATTGCTTTTGCGCTTCATCTCATTTTTAAAAATCATTCGATTCTTCTATTTATGTATTATGAATATGCATACTGTCTAGGCATATTTATATTTGCAGTACGCTATCTGATCATAGATGGCTGTTGATACATAACCTGACAATTGCATGTGCCAGTTTTATTATCAAAATGTATTGACTTTTATATGCAATTCTTTTAAAATTTGTAATTGGAACATAATAAAAAAAAAGGAAGCATGGAGCTGTTAGAGCAAACCTATCAAAAAGTATATTGTCAATTATTCTTAAAATCACATATTTTGTTGAGGGTAATCAATGTTTTCTTATTTGCAGGCTTTATCAGTAAATGAGCAAATGATAGACAAATGGCAAAGATGTATATCAGAATATTTGTGTGTAAAAGAACGCCTAGAAACATTTAGAACGGAACTTAGTTTAAAAATCATGGTACCTTTAGGTTCGAAGGCTCTGATGAGAGGCAAACTATATCATACTAATGAAATATTGGTTCATTTGGGGGACGGTTGGTTTACTAAACGAAGTGCTCAACAAGCTTTAGATATTTGTAATCGAAGAATTCAAAGTAAGAATTATTTTATATTTAAATAAGTAATTATAAATGCTTGTAGAAAACGTATTGCTTGTTTCAAGTTACTAATATATTAGAGTAATGTATTAAATGATGGCAATTGTGTATTCTATGTTTGTGAGTTCACAGTAAATTATAACATTTGAGTTAATAGTGTTATGAATATTTAAATTTAAAATAGTATAATATAGTAGTAAAATGTAAGGAAGTAAGTTTTTAAATATAAAAACGTAGTAATTAATAATGTAACGTAAGTTTTTAAATATAAAGTGTTTCTCAACATATTATCTAATATTCTATTTATTATTTAATTTTAATCTTGCTAGAGTATTCAAATTCACTCAAATAATTCTTGAAAATAATCAACTACATTAATAAAAATCTTTTATACTGCGCTTAGATGTCTTAGCTTTTGATGCATTTGCTTGATTGCCTCCTTTTTCAAGAAGCTTAAGACTATCATTTAAGGAAATAAAACGGTTTCACAGAAAAGGAAACTCAACTCTATAATCTAAACAACAATAAAATGTCAAATAAGTGAATGAATTGTTTTTTGTTATAGACGCTGAAGATATGCTTAAACAATTTCAGCAAGAAAAATCTTGGTTGACAAGTAAAAGAAATATTCCAAAAATGTTTGATGTGTTTGCTGATCATGATCGTCAAGAAATAATTGAAGATTATGATGAAGAAAAGGAGAAAATATGGAGAGAAAGGCATAAACAAAAAGTAAAAGAATATCGTCAAAACTTAAAGAAACAGGAACAAGCTGATGATGACAAAATAACAGATGAAGAATATTGGCAAAAACTGGAAGAACTTGAAATTCAAGAAGAATTTGAAAGAGAAATTGAGAAATCTGGAACTACTTCCTTCATGAGTGAAATATCGAAAAATATAAACCTATTTGGTGACAAAAATATTTCTAATAATGATTTTTCACATTCTATTCAGTCTAAAATATATGACGACCTCAATAATTTGGATGCCTCTATTGAAGGTCATGTAGATACTTTCTCAAAATCAGATTCAACACCACACGATGTTGATGAAATATCTAATGTTGTTCTGTTAGAAAGAAAATCGAAGATTTGTGAAAACATACCTCTTGATATGAAACTGAGTTATGATTTCATTGGGGCTTTTGATGAGGATGAAATTAAACAGGATTCTTTGACCATAGGCTTTGCCAATACTGATACTTCACTTCAGGGAATTAAAATTGATGATCATAAAAGTATTAACACAGAAACAGAAGATGAATGTGCTAAACCAAGGTTGCTTGAAGATCCTCAAAAAATTTCCAATGTTATATTGCTTAATAGACAAGTGAATATGAATAACGATATGAACATAAATATTCAGAAGGAGAACAAATCGCAAGGGGAAGTATTAAATTGTGATAATAGTAAAGAATCAAAGAATGATGGATGTGCAAAAATTCATTTGAAGGATAGTGCCAATGATAAACACGCAGAAAAGTCAAAATATATACTTTTACAGGATTACAAAAAACAGTTAATCGAATTAAGAAACGAAATTCATGGAGCTGTATTGAAAACACATGATGAACTATGCCAGCAACTAGATAAATATGACTTGAAGGAAGAATTAGAACATAAAATAATGTTATTACAAGATGAATTAAATATAGAGGATGACAATATTTTTGACAGCGATTGCTCAGATGAACAGATTTATAAACCAACATCCATAGGATCAGAAAAAAGTCTGAAAAAGGTGTCTTTTACTGAGAAAGATCACACAAAATATCTAGATGACCATGCTCCTGACCCTCCACTAGTACTGCATTTTAAGCATTCTACATATGTGCCTCAAATATTAGAATCCAAAAATTCAGATCAAATTGATGGGCCACATGATATATATAGAGTATATAAAAATTGTTTTGTGCAAAATACTAAACCCTTTAAATCAATTTTAAAGAAAACAACATCAAGCATCTTGAAACCCGTAAATGAAGTGTCAAATACTGAAGCTCCTGGATTTGGTGATACTGCAAAACAACAAATTCAGAAACAAAAGAAAACAAGTTGCCCCATCGTAAGTATATAGAAATGATTTATTATTTTCCTTTCATATTATTTTTTATAAAATGCAACATTAACTCAACAGGTTATTGGAGATGTATTTGAGCATAAAACTCCGACGACAATGCATGATACAAACATGAAAAATGTAGATGTTGTAACTGGCCCAATAAGCCGATTTAAATCTAAAAGATTATATCCAAAATAAACTCAGTTTGTTATAATATTATTTATATTTTCATGTGAATTGTATAAAAGTAACTCATTCTCACACTATTGGTTTAAATTTACACACATTAAATAAATTTATTAAAACATAAGTTCGAAGATACAACTGATCGTTTGTTATATTTGATAACATGATCAATGTGGATATAATTCAACATTTTCTTTTTTACTTTCTTTGCTGTGCTATCGTTCTAAGTAATCTGTGACCACAAATAAATGTTACAAGACTCAGGACAGAGAGATATCTTAACGTTTCGAACATGTTCAGTTTCAGCCAAAAAATCACAAATAAGCCCAATATCGCTGAAATGAATAAATTATTTTTAAGATTAAATACAATATTGATTGACAATCGATTACTCACCTCCAAAACCAGAATGAAAACCTAAAGCAGAGAGAGACAATGGGAAATTAGAAACATTAATTTTCAATTTAACCCATAAAACGAATAAAATCACTAATGGAGTTAAACATAATCCAGTGAACAAATCAGACACTAATCGAGACGGCCTGCGATCTGGTTCTCTGAATTTGTGAACAATTTCTGGTTTTGGCAATCTTGATGCACTGTGTTCTGGTCAAATAAAGAACCATTTTATAATTAAACCCTTAAGGTTTAGAATGCAAATATATTCTTACAGAAAAATAATTGACACTACATATACCTGCAGAGATAGCTTCTTGAGAGAATTTCAAATTGATGTCTGCAATATGCCATTTGAAGGAATTGCTAAGCAAAGCATCTCCAACTATCAATTCCATGTGGTACAAACCAGATTTATGATTGAAATCTATAGATTTGCTTCCTACATCCTGCATGAATAGTACTTATGTAAACACTAATAAGTAACGAAAAGAGTAAAGAGCTTGCATATACACACACTCACCCATATTGGAATATGTATGTATATAAAAATATGGATTAACAATTTCAAATTGGGTAATTAAACCACTATAACTATTCATTTATTTGATACCGTTAAATACCAAATTTTAGCTCATTCACAATAATTATCTCTTGTAAGATTGCACTTACCATTTCAAATTTATATGTTTGAGTACTATCCTGCTCAGCAACAAAGATAATTTCTTGCTTGTTGTTAGAATTTGATAGTTTAACAAAACATTGATGTACTGTCATAGGTTTTCCATCTGACTCATCAGCAAGTAAGACCTTCAGCAGAACTCTTTGTAATGAGTCTGCTTCAAGCACAGTTGTCATCTTCTTAGGGTATGGGACTGTTTGTTTCTTTGCAGGAGCAGCCTGATCAGCGTCTCCAATACTGACTTCCAAAGATTTCACTGATATTCTTCCTAAGACCTGCAAAAGCCAAGTATGTGTATACAAACAGATTGGCATATATAAGGTTAATAACTCATAGTTAAACATTTTCATCATATTTATGTAAAAATTATGATTAATTTTATTTATATGTAGGAATTATGCTTTTGATTATTTCTGTACTAAATATTTTGCATATATTTATATATTCTATATGCTATAATTTTTTACCATTCAAATTATTCATATATATATATATATATATATATATATATATATATATATATTATATATATTATATATATATATATATATATATATATATAAATTTCATTATTACCTTAACCACGATGTTGCCAGTATGTGAGCCAGCACTCAAAACTAATTTATATACACCTTTTTCCGGTTTGATTTTCATGAGATCAAGTTTGTATAGAGTTTTATCTCCTTGAACAGGAGTTAATTTTTGTTTAGACAAAACTACTTGGCCTTGTCTTGTGCCAGATTGTGCAATTACTGAATCAGAAGGTATATCCAAAGGTTGTCCTAAGAGGTTGCAAACTCTCAAATTTACTTGTGGATTTTCGGAAGATATTTGAGGAGACCCAACTAAAGATATAACTGTTGGAGAGATTGCCTAAAATTTAAGTAATAAAAATTAAAATTTTGATTTAAGTTGTAATTTCTTCAACAACTTTCGTAAATGTAATGATGAAAACTCACTTTGTCGTTAGATATTAGTGTTAAAGCGTTTAGAAGCAAAGTGCAACCTTTAGCTGTTTGAACAGACCTCCTTGATAGCAAGTATGTTGAAAATTTTACACTTTGATCTGCAGTAATATATGCAGGTTTTCCTAAAGAATTTGACAGCCTGTATATCAAGAAATAAATTTATTAGCAGATAGTAGTTACGGTAATCATTGATGTATTTCATACATAATATTACTTTACCTTATTATTCCTGTTAATATCAATGATGTCAAACTAAGACCACCTTCGAACTGCAACATCTTCCCATCAACTTCATCAGCTTGTGCAAGAGCATCCTCAATTCGATCACTTACAAATTGTCCATTTATTCCAAGTTCAGCCGCAATATGGAACGCATGGGCCAAACTATATCATGAGATGTATATATATATATATATATATATATATATATATATATATATATATATATATATATGAATTTGAATGGTAAAAATTATGGCATATAGAATATATAAATATATGCAAAATATATGCCAATCTGTTCTGTATACACACACAACACATTCGGTTTATAATAAATAGTATATTCAGCAAAATATTAAATTGTTGGCTTAAGACATAATACCAAATACTCAGCAACTATTTGTCAGGCTTTTAGTGCCTAAACTCGTTGGTAATGCAATCATTATTCAAGGTTGTTGCACTACATGTATATTCAAGTTTTATACATGGGCTTGCAATAACTATTGAGTTACTCTTTGGAATCATTTATATTATTCGTCCAAAGAGGGAATACTAAAATGATCTTATGAATATTTAAGTAATCATCTCTAAATATTCAATTTATATATTAAACGCCGGTGGCAAATAAGGGGTGACAAATATTTGATCCAAGTATGTATATATATATATATATATATATATACACATATATATTTGGTACACCAAACATCTTCTGCACACATTTTTCTGCTCTACATCAAATTTAAAATAACTGTTAAAAGCATTAGATGCAAAGCTAATAGATAATTTAAAAACAAATTATTAAAGGATTAAAAACCTTTGCCTTTCTACTAACTACACTACGCTTATAGGGTTTAGATATTTGATTTCACCTTTGAGTTAGCTACTTTTAATTAACCATTATTGTCAAAAATAATAAACAAATATTTGAATACTCTTTTTATAAAAATATTGATAGATATACCTTAATAATGTATCTTCCCGTTTCAGTAATCCCTGTAATAATTTGGCCAATTTGCTTTTATTAGCCTCAGAAAGTGTTTGTCCTGAATTTTTTAGTCCTAAAACTGCATAATATAATTCAGTCACAGTTGCAGTGTCACTTGAAAAAATATCTTGCAGAGATTTCACGGCGGATGTAGTGGAAATATGACTACAGGTGAGATATTTTGAGGTAGAAATCAAATAGAATAACTCTTCTGGGCTCTTAGCTTTCGTTGAAAAATTATCTAGTACCTGCAATTATCACTTTATTGAAATAATTGAACATTTTTAAATTACTTTATATAATATTGGTTTCTGTCTGTATTCAGCCCCAATTAAAGATGAATATTTAGCTAAATCACAATACATAAATATACAGAGCAGCTAGTACATGTCAAACTTTGTTTTACAATGCAATTATTACTCATTTATAGTTTCCATCAAAAACACTAACTTTGCATGATTCTTTCGTAGATGCTGGAACTTCATTTAGCAACCTGTATCCTTCAATAGCATAATACATCTGTGCCACATCTGTTGACAACATTGCATCTGCAAAAACATTTTTAAACTTTTCTCTCTCGGGTATCCCAAAATGACTAGAAACACTACTTGCTGAATGTGCTTCGTAAAAGAATAGAATCGCCACGAGAGCAAATGCTGAAAATTTAATTAACAGAATTATTGCGAAGAAATAAATTATCATGTATTAATACAATAGCCGGTTAATGAGGTATAACCAAAAACTTTTTGTAGTTTAGAATTTCATTCTTTGTATGGCGAAAACTTATTTCAAAAGTTAAATATAAATATACTCACAAGTATACATGTTAATATGTCTGAATTAATCGCATTAGAGACACAATATAATTTTTAGTAAATTAAAATCAAAATAATGCCGACACGTCAGCCATAGATAACTCGACAGTGGTTTACTACGAGATGAGTGCGCTGCAATCAAATTTACAAACTGTAGCAAATATCCATTCCATCGAACAAAGAAGATCTGTCCGTTATTTTGACTGGTAAATTATATTATAACAATTTTTGGTTTTATAGAAGTCACTAGGAGTATCATGGACTAATTGTCCGATATTTGTCATAAAATTCAGTTTTTAAACATAAATTTATGTCTATTAGCTTTTATGTTTATTAACTTTCCATAGGGTAGTTATAGCATAGATAAACAAGTATAGTTACAAGGTTATGCTTATTTATCTAGGCTCAATATCATAATTTCCACTTTAGAATCGTTCATATTGTTTTTGAAGCCATTTTATTTCTTTTCTGAGCACTATGTTTTGCGTTGCTAGCCTGAAAGCTTGCTGCTTTCGAAGCTTTCTTCGCTTTAGCCTCCATTCTGAAATTCTATCGAGAAGGTTGTTTAATATAAGAATATTTTATAAAGGGAAAAAATATAATTATAGTATTTTTACAGATTAGTCTCACACCAACACTGGAAACAAAATAATATATACATAATCAGTGGCGGATCCAGCTTTGGCGTCAGGGGGGGTCACATTTTTTACAAGAGATAAATTAAATAAATATTTATTCCAGCTCTGCTCATGAATATTTTGGACGAAATATCAAATCAAGGTTATATACAGAGGTACCTCTGTAATAAATGCACCCATAAAATTTATATTTTGCATTGGTTGAATAATGTAGTTATTATTTCGTTAAATCTCTTCAAAGTTAAAAATAATACATTGAATTGTTTGTCCTCTGGCCGTCTTATTTTACCCCCCAATACGATTAGAAAATCCTTAAATTTTAGTCTTTGACTCCGCAGTTCGTCTATACTAAGTTACATATTAAAGTTATAAAATGCGTTTGGTAACAAAATATGTACATAAATAAAATCATCATAAAGGAATTTTATTGCTGAATTAGCGTTCTATCTAAGTCTTAAGACAAGCTCAGGGGTGGTCATGACCCCCGTGGCCCACCCCCTGGATCCGCCACTGCTTACATAATTACAATTCCTATTCGCTTTCTACATACTGATAAAAGTGTAAATCGTGTCGGTTTGGAACATTCGTTTGAGGCATTCGCAGTTCAAACTAGAAAAAAAAACAAAAATTATGTGGTGCATGATATTATGCCTTAAGACAAATTGCTGGAGCTTACCGTACTATAATTTAAAATTTTTAAAAACCTTGAAATAAATAGAAAATTTTGAATAATTTTTTTGAAGCGATCGCGCTGCGCAGCTATTCTACAGGCAAATTTGGAGCACCCGGTTGCAGTCTAACGGTTAAACATTGCAAATCTTGGTACCCATAGAAATGTTAAAATTTGTACTTATTGTTGAAACTTTCATAAAATATCTGATAATTAGATGTGCATATGTCTATAATGATGATTTTGCCCGCCAAATGGCGTTTTCTTAACTTTTTTTGTTGGATTTTCGAAACCACTGGACTTATGCCTGACATTAATAGAGTATGTATTGCAATAATGACTTGAAGACAAGATAGTTTGTTTAAGGCATAACATTTAGTATGTTATACTATTAAGAATCTATCTATCAAGATAGATTCTTCTGTCTATGAAATATCCGTTTCGTAATTTTTTTAAAGTCCCAAATCAGAAAAATAATAATTAAGAGTAATTTCAAGAACAGAATAAAGTATAAAAATTCTTTTAATCATAAAAAACTTGGTGAGAAAATGTTAAAATAATCTGGAAGTGAAAATTAGGAGAAATTGGAAAAAAAGAAAAACTAATTGGTACTGTCGAGAGAAAACTATATTGATAGCATTTGTGGGCATTACATTTGCAAAATATTGTTTGATATTGGAACTGAAAAATTCAGAAATATCGTAGAAACTTTGGGCTTTAAAAAATTTAACGATGGTGCTATGAAATTGACGATCACTTAATTTTCTAACTTGCAGTGGTATTAAAAAGCTGTACTCCTAGGTCGTGTATGGAATTGAGAGAAGTTGCAAGTTTAAACATAGGACTCTTTATAGTCAATTTTTTTGTTTTGTAATAAGAATTTGATATTGAGACTAGGTTAAAGCGTTCAGAATTATTCTATATGAATGACAACGTGACTAGCAAAAGTATACACGGGGCAGTGAGAATGTTAATTTTTTTATTATTATTTTAATAATTTTTACAACTGTCTTCAATCGGACAACAAATAAAATATTTGACATAAAACTGAAATCGTTGGCAAAATATAAATCATCTGACCATTGCCAGTGATTTGTCGAAGGGGTTATCTATTGTTGATTAATGCAGAAGAAATTTTTTTTTCAATCGGGCCCTGGTAGAGTTGTTCTGAAGTTTTCTGACGAGCGAGTTCGGGTGATCAGCTAGACGATTTCTATATTTGCGTAAGTAAGCAATTATTTCATCCTTAACTGTGCTAGTGCCTGTGCCTTTGTGTATTAACCAATTTGGAACATGCTTTGGTGCTTTCATTTGTTTCATTTCTTTGGTGCGTTGATCCCCATAGCTGTATCCCGTATGTCCAAATTGGTTTAATGATGGCTTTATAGAGGTAAATTTTATTATGGGTGTCAAGTTTTGATTTTCGTTCGAGGAGCCAATACAATCTTCTTCTGGCTTCTTCAAGCTGCTTCCTCTTTTTCTTAATGTTATTTCTTTTTCTTTCCAGGTTAGTCTCTTATCCAAGTGTAAACCTAGATATTTGACTGTATCTGTTTGATGAGAATGTTTAATTGTCGGAAAAGATTCTCACATGTGGAAACTAAGGGAAAAATTATTCTTAACGCTCTTTTCTGTAATTTGAATATATTCTTTGAAGATGACGAGAATCCTCAGAAATGTATCCTGTATGTGAAATGCGAATAGAAATTAAAACTAGCTGTAAGTGGAATTCTGTCTTAAGGCAATTAAGGCATCGTGCCTTAAGGCAAATTGCTGGAACTTCCCGTACCAAAAATTATTAATTTTTTAAAAACGATTAACATTTTTGAAAAAAATTTACTTTGAAAAAATAAGATTTTTGAGAAACTATAAATTGGACAAAAAATTACTTTTTTCTGAAAAAAAAGTTTTTTTTTTAATTTTTTTTTTTTGAAAAAAAATTTTTTTTTCTTTATTTTGACATATTGTGGAAGATCTGAACTTTTTTTTCAAAGCAATCGTACTGCTTTAACTGCATAGGGACAAAATGTAAAGCGCGTAAGCGCCGCGTCGCTGTCTAACGCATAAGCATTGGTACGGAACCCATAGGAATGTAAACCAAAATTATACTTATTGTTGAAATCTCTATAAAATATCTGATAATTAGATGTGCATATGTCTAATGATCATTTTTGACCCCCAAATGGCTCATTTTTTTACTTTTTCCTCCATATCTCCGAAACCGCTAGACCTACCTTCATGAAAATTTTATCGATTTTTTATCTTGTCAATACAAGTGAAACGTTTTCTGAATTATTCAAATCGGACGCTCCGTTCTCTTAAAAACTGAGTTACCGTTTTCGGCACTTTTTGCCCCGTATCTTCGGAACGGCTAGACCTGCCTTTGCCAAAAACTAATCAGCACGTCTCCTTATCAATACGAATCGAATGTTTTTTAAATTATTCAAATCGGTTGATCCGTGTTCCCGAAATCGTCGACGAAAATTTGTATCCGCACATACATACACACACGTACATACACACACACACACACACACACACACACACATACATCCATTTTTTCTAAGGTATGCCAAAATGTTCAGAAACCTCTGAAACGTAAAGATATATAAAAATTTTCATTTTCGATTTTTTTGCGATTACTATAACTTACCCTACGGGAAGTTAATAATAAATCGAACACAATTTTTTTATAGTTCTTATAGTTTTCGCGGAAAATAAAACGTGGAAAACTAGAATTTTGTACCTCTGACCTTGAATATAAAAAAATCGCAGAGGTCGGATCGATGGGGATTTTGACATTTCATTTATAATGGCCTATTTCACAACTACACCCATTTTCAACTCTATGCGAATTATTCTCAACTGAAATTCTAATTTGACTGGGATATTTGTGATGATTTAACTTAAATACGTCGCCTTTCAGAAGACAACCCCGAGGTTGGCCGATCCCTAATTAATTAATTTATTTATTATTTTAATTTCCATAATGGCTATTTACACTTGAAAACATATTCCTATATAAAATTTCTGTCCGAATCGGGTATCGGACAGGACTTACTGGCACTTCTGATTGAAAGCCCATTGCTCTAACTACTAATCTATAGGGGAGTCTAATAAGAATTTTATAAAATTTATTAATTAATTAATTAACTAATTTTATGTAATTATATAATACTTTATGATAAGTTATTAACTCTCCGTAGGGTAAGTTATAGCAATCGTCTAAAAACGAAAGGAAAATTTTTGCATATCTTTATCTTTACGTTTGAAGACCGCCTGAACGTTTTGGCATACCTCAGAAAAAACGATCTGTGTGTGTAGTATGTGTTCTATAGGTAAGGCTCGAAATAATTACAATTCGGTTTATATAATTATGTTTTATTTATCCACGTTTCATGTAAACATGTACGGGCTCGCCCGTAGGTAAGCGGTTAAGAGCGACGGGACCTGAATCAGAGGTCCCGGGTTCGATACCCACTTCGAGCAGCATGTTGTCAGGCAGCAGTGACAACGATTTTCACTTGGAAATATAGATAGTAATATGTTTCCAAGTGAAAATAGCCTTGCCCGGCATTGCTGCACCAATAAAAAGTCAGCCCTATTAGATTAATTCTAATAACAAAATCATCAAATTTGGATGGATTAACCATTGGGTTACCATCTAAAAAATAAGAAGTAAAGAGAAGTTTCAGCCCAACAGCTCATAGGACGTAAGGTTCTGGTTTCTGTTTAAAAAAATGTATAGACCTTATATTTTGTCTATAAAATACGAATAATGAAAGTTACAGTATTTATATACAGTATTAGCAATTTGCCTCAAGGGATGATGCCGTGCACCACTAGTTTGATTGATGAACTATGATATAAATTGCGCTTTTTATGTAAATCGTGGCTGACTTGTTAAAAGAATTATTTTCAAGGCGATAATTCGCGTTATAGCGAGCGAGCGCCTGTCATATGCCGTGTTTACATGTGCAATACGTAGCACACACCGAGCGTGCGGAACGCACAGAATCGACACACCGTTATGAGTATGACCAACCATTGCTCCTGGAGTGGGGTATCAAACGAATACGAACTGACTGAGCTTGATCAGTCACGCGAGGTCGGACGGGAAGAATTATACTTGTGTGCGTTGCGCTTTGTGTATTGGCTGTGTGCCAGTGACGGCGTAAATTTTATTATGGAAATCGAATGAAAAATTTATTTTAATTCGAGGAAGTGTTTATAACGTTTGATAAACTAAATTAATATAAGATTTGTAAGCATAAGGTTTACATAACGCACTTAATATTGTCTTATGTATATTTACTAAATTTTAATTATCTTTTTACAAAAGGAACAAGGTTTTTAATATTTTTTATGTGCATCATTAGAATTCAGTATGTTTTATATTAGGTTGTCAAATATCTCCCTTCCGCTTTTTTGCTCTTGGTTTATAATACAAAAAGGCGGAAGGGAGATATTTGACAACCTATTATTAATAAAATGTTTTTTATTTATTGTATTATATGTATATATGTAATATGTATTTAAAATACAAATACCAATTGTTGTCACTTATTATTAGTCATCTATATGCAGTGACTAATAATAAGTGACAACATTTGGTAGTTTATTGCCGTTGCACAAGAATCTATAAATTTTGTGGAATATTGTGGAGATTTGAATATCTTGGCAATAGCATAAATAAAATAAAGGCTGAAAATATTATTAAGATATCATTGATTACTACTACATTTATAGAAGTATATGTTTCGGTAAAGTTCATTTTCTTGAGTTTATTTGTTGTGGTTATTTAAATGTGCTTTTTTACTCTTGCTACAAGAAATAGATGCTAAAAACTCGTATGTAAATAAATACAATTTATAATTTTAGATTAACTAAACAAATTATCGCTATTATTATTTTGAGAAAATATTCAATTAGCAACCGTTTAATTACATACATTTATATATGTATATATATATATATATATATATATATATATACATAAATTATAGAGGGATCTTTTTTAACTATTTATAACAATAAGACAATAAATAAACGAAATGAACTCAACACGCTGTGCGACACAAATCTCTTCTATTTAGATAACATTTCCAAATTTCTTACAAAACAATAAAAGCGTTCGCGCAAAGGATTCACAATTCGTTCCACACATGTGTAGAATCTTGGTAAAAATACTTTTTAAAAAATGTCTTTCTCCATTACATCTCCAACCAGTCTACGAATAACACACTATCCATTTGTGATTTTTTAAAATCAGTATTTTGTGAAAATATTGTGTAATTTCAATTTAATGTTTATAATACATAGTGTAGTGCATTATCATATCCTAATACCATGGATTATTAAAATTTTCCAATTTAACACTAAGATCAACTAATTGTAAGTACTAATTACTATTTTATTTTTTCTTTTCACTGCAATTCAATTGTTTTAGTTTTTAATTTTATTTTTAGTTTCCACTGAATGAAGGCTAGGATTATAGCCGAAACGTATGGATTTAAAATAAATTTTTGAAAGAAATTCATGTTTTTTATTGATGTTATGCCCGATTATTAGACTTTGTTAATACATATGTCAACATCAAATTCAGAATCATACAAAATATATATATATATATATATATATATATATATTATGTATATGTATATAAATGATTAAAATAAAGATTCAGCCCCCACTGGTAAATGTACGAGAGTTTACGTTTACTATTCCCCACGCGCGTGACGCGGTTGGCAGTCAGTCGTCTTCAGTCGCGATCGCACGTTGTTGCTGCGCGTTTGTGTTCATTGCGAGTTAAAATTGTGACTATTTGTTTTATGCGTATATATGAAGTGAAAATTTAATTGTTTGTTAATAAAATCAACGCTTATTGCGTCCCAAACCGTTAGTGATGTGTATTTATTTCTTTGATGCAATGTTAACATTGAGCAGTTTGTGTCGTGTGAATATTGTGAATGGTTGACAAGATATATGAATAATAAATTGTGGGATATCCCTTTGAGCGGGAGCTTGAATGCCGTGCGCATGGTAATCGCAGCGGATAAATATAGATAGTTGACAACATGGCACGGAGAAAAGGAATCTCCAATAAGTCGAGTGAGTCAAACTTAAATCATACCAATGTTGAAAAAAAAACTTATAAAGCACGTCATTTTCGTGTATCAGCTATTGAACGAAATACTCCCGCGTATCGCGAATATAACTAATGACAGCATGAGACAATGGTATCAAACATATTCCTTGTCACGTAATCCAAAGAGAAATGAAAAGTAGATCGAGGTTTGCTTAGTTAAATCGCAATTTGCTATCTCTTTGCCCTTGCGTTGCGTTTTGCGGGCGTTAGTTTGTGGTCGTCGGCTCGTTAGTTCTCTTTCTCTCTCTCTTCTGTCTCTTCCTTTATTTTAAGATGACGCACGTGTTATGTTCAAGCAAAGCAACCAAACACAAGCACAACGATATCATCTTATCTCCCTCTCGCATGAGTAAAACTTGTGCTAGGTGCATGTACTTGATGTCGTCTTTTAATGCAAGTTCAGAGGGCGCCCTGCCGTGTTAAACAAACACATGCATAAAACAACCGGCTACTCATCGAATCATCGAATTTGCATTCAAAATCTTACTTCTGCGGATGATAGCGCGCTACATCAAATGGAGCAGAATTTTGTTTATTTTTGCGATATAATGTTAAACTCAACTTGTAATTATTGAGGTAAAGCTGCATCATCATACCAATATAAGATATCACACAATCGAATAACATTATTCAGATTCTTAATGCATTGTTGGACTTTATTTTAGGTAAAGTAATTTTAACAAACTTGGACCAAGTGAATGCACAATTGTAACAGCATGCTTTTGGTGTTCAATTTTTTATCATTTATTGTGATTTATATACCAATATATCTTTATTATTTTGAGAATTTTGATCATTTTCAGCCGAAATTGAAACATTAGTGTGCCAAAATACTGTTCTTGCATGCAAATACTGTTCTTGATTAAATAAACATGCAAATATATAGTATAAATATTTTTAGAAATTTGTTTAAAATTCATACGTTTCGGCTAGCATCTTAGCCTTCATTCAGTGGCAATCAATATAATTATAAAAATTAAAACTAAGTAAATAATATGTAAGAAATTTTAAAGAAAAACAATCTTTTTTTATTAATTTATAATCTTGGTATTTGGAAAAAACCATAATAATGATGTAAAAACACTTACAAATTGGGATCCTTATATAACAGATGGTACAATTGTAACACTGTGCACATACCTATATCATGGAGTAATAATGTTTTCATCTGTTATATAAGGATACCAAATTGTATTTTTTGATCACTATTGTATTTCTTTAAAATTTCTTACATATTATTTACTTAGTTCTAATTTCTACAGTTTATTGATTGCCACTGAATGAAGGCTAAGATGCTGGTCGAAACGTATGGATTTAGAATAAATTTCTAAAAACTTTTATTAAAATTTTTTTATGGATGTAACGCCCGATTCTTAACTCATATATATATATATATATATATATATATATATATGAAATAAAAATCTAAATACAATTAACCCTTTTCACTCGGATGCCTCCGGCGGCAAAATACATATAAATCTCGCAATTCGCGAGTGGAAAGATTTAATACTAATAATAAAAGATAATAGAACGGATTGAGTTTAATGTGTAATATTTGCGAAATGTTACTACAGTATTTCTTACTGAATAAAAGCAATCTAGAAATTTAGTCGAAACGCATGATTTAAAAAGCTTATAAAATGTGTTCATACTCAATAATATATGAATAAGACAAATATTTCGAAGTTTATTTTAAAAATCATTTCCAATCGAGGTATCGCGTTCACCTCACATCGAGGTATCACCTGTAAGTGAAGCAACCGGTTTCAGTTTGTCAACCATTACACCTTCAGTTGTTTGCATTATAGACAAAAGTCCTCTCAGGTCGTCGTTCGCACGCGGCTTTCGACTATTGTTGTCTATTCTTTCAAAAAATATTTGTTAAGCTGAATAAATAAATCATTTCCTAACTGTTTTGATTTATCTAGCTTAAATATAATAATTATTATAAGATTTAGATTTTTTTGTTCGACGTTTAGACATATTCTTGAATGTTGTATTTGCAGCCAATCGTCGAAATGAAAGAACAATAAATAATGAACTATTTATTTATTCGTTTCGACACGGTATGTCTCATCATTCAGCAATTTTTTTATATTTATACAGTATTACACCAGGAAATACAATAACAAAAATTAAAAATAACATTAATTGAAAATAAAACATAATAAAGTAAATTTTGTTTGATTTAAAGTTAAACTCAACTTCGTGTTAATATAATATAATAATTATGCTATTCTATGATAATATCTATAGTCTATTAATAATTAATTCAAATATAATACTCTTCTCCGTTTATGATGCTTACAATTGGTTTTATATTGTTTATTTTTGTAAGAAAAGCTTTTTTGATAAAGATAAACTAATTTCATTAATTATGATTTATTTATTTGTTATTTGTTGTTTGTGTATAACCCTATTTGCAACACGAACAATTGTATGAAATAGTTTATTTTTTAAGGATACACCTAAGTCTGTTTTTACACGATAGATTGGTTCCAGAAGAAGCCGTGTAAAAAAAAAACGTGTAAAAAAGACATTGATCTTATACAAAAATGGGTGATTTGTTTCTAATCTCTAAAACCTATTAAAATTAGTGAAAAACAAGAATTTTCAAGAACAAGAATTCATGTTCATTTTAATAATAATTCCCCTAAATTAGTGCTATTCACATTTGCTTTGACCAGTAAAAATTGTTTGTACGCGCTAAAGGGGAATTCACTTAAATCTTTAAGCTAGTGTTCGCAAACTATCGATGGTTTCAGACTTTTTTCTTTCATAAATACTTTTTTGTGATATGAACATACTTCGCAAAAATTAAATTTGACAAAAAAATTAAGTACATAAAATTTCAAATCGTGCTAAATGGAATAAAATCGTTTAAAAAATTAAAAATATTCAATTTTCGAACCGTGTAAAAACAGACTTAGGTGTATTTCGATAAATCAAAATAAGGTCTTTTTTGGTCGGCTTTGCGCATCAGCAACGTACGTATGTGTAACGCGTCGCGCGGCTTCGCCATACAGAGGCAGGTTGGGGAATCCTTATGGCGCCAGACCGTCAGCCAGTGCCTATGGAAATACATAGTACAAAGTATAACGTTTTAGTTCCGTCCATCATATCAGGCGTCTTGTTCTCGTCACGATGACGCGGCACGATTCGTTTACAGAATCACCCACAAAATCATATGCCTTACATTACATACCACTTAGTTCTCTTTAGTGTAACTGAATAATAAATTTTACTTATTATTTTCTACGCGTGTATCATAAGATACAAGTAACGCAGGCGAAATAAATGTCCTTATATAGTCGATATCTCAGTTTCTGATAATAAATTTATTTGTTCAAGTATATAAATAAATTACCAATATAGATAATTATTTATTACACTTTCATTATTTTAATGTGTTTGTTTGAAGAAGTGAGGAATTAATTACTATATAAATAAGTACATGAATTAGTCAATTATGAGTTTATAAAAATTGTCTTGCTTGTGATGACGATAAAAGATCTATTAATGAAGACCGTTACATCATTGCAAATTATATAAATAAACTTACCTAGGAGAAATGGTTGTAGGATTTACTGCAATAATAAATGAAACTAGTGGTGATCATGGGTTTCAATTTTTCGAAATTAAAAAAAAAAAAATTTGAAATTTAGAAATAAAGAAAAGCACTTTCCTCAAAAACAATCATTTTGTCAACACAAGATTTTTGAATCATTCAAATCGGAAGCTTTGTTCTCTCAAGAACTGAGTTTCCATTTCCTGCACTATTTGCTCCGTATATTCGAAACGGCTGAACGTGAATTATTCAAATCGGTTGATCCGTACGCCCGAAATCGTGGACGAAAAATTGTATTCATATAAAACACGCACGCATACACGCTCACACATATCCATTATTTTCTAAGGTATAATAAAAATTAGTGAAAATATGAATAATATCGACAAGTGCATGATAGATGATTTATGTTTCATTTTATTATTAGTCCAGTCATTTGGTCGTTTTGCTGGTACAGTACTCCGGGAATTCTGAAAATTGGTAAACTTATAGATTTCGAGGTGCTCTTTGCGAAAATCAACTTTGCCACCTCAAATTTGAACGGCAAGTTGCCGCCATATTGAAAAAATAGCGTCAAAAAATAGCTTTTTCAAAATATCTCTTTTCTGGCTTATTCTACGATAAAAGTATCTATGTACGAATTAAACTAGATAAAATTTCCTATAATTCTTTAGAAAACCGTTTTTTTGTAAAATTGATAGTTTGAGAGTACGGCCGCCTCAAAGTCTTTGCTGCTCTCGCCGTAGTACCAAATCTCTCCATATATGACAGCACTTCGAACTTGATCAAATTCTCTCTAATAAATAAATATTTTCAATGTTAAATTAAGCGAATAAGGTCTAGAAATAAAATAATTCAAATATTTTTCGTTTTTTTGCTGATTTGTTAACACTTCAAGCTACTTACTTATAGCTACTTTGCCATTGACCGGCAACAGCCTTTTTTTGCACCAAATGACTGGACTATATCGGCAATGCATGAAATAAAGCGTGCCGTTTAAAGTCGTCCGCTGTGTCAGCCTTACAGTACGAGATCTGAAGGTTGCTTGAGTATTTGTGCTTCTGAGAATCCGTGCGGCTCATTCGACGAATTGTTGGGAGTCGTTTGGTACGAAACAACAAACGCCATGTGGAAAAAGTTGAGCGGCATTGGCACCATGACAATATATATGTATTGCTATTATAGTCACACGTGTTGAAGAGATTCAACGGGAATCACGGGAATTTGCATGCACATTGCGTGTTTCAATTATTAATTTTATTAATTGATATAAACCACGATGTACACATAGAATGAGAATTTATTGAATACTAAGTTATTTAATTAACATCATGAATAAGTATAAATTGAATTACTGTAACAGAACGGAAAAAAATCATTTATTAATCATTA